TGTTTATTGAACTGTTGTATTAAATCAATATCACATTTGCAAACTCCTTGAATAATTATTAAAATCTGTCACTCTCCTTATCGCGATCTGTGGGCGCACATAAAATGAGAGTTCTCAAGACTCAAAAGTACGTGCAAATGATAAGGTCATTTGTCATCTGTCATCGTGTTATAAGCACTGAACCTGCGGGAATGACTAGAATTATTATTAATAGCCGCAATCCTGTGCCTGAAATTCAAGACCTGCTCTGTGTTCTTTGCTAATAACCCGACTGTGAATGATGCGAGCGGCGTTATGTTGTCAGTGAGAAGCTGCAGCCGTGGACGGAAATCCGTCGTAGCGACGGAAAACTTTCATCCCTGAGCAGTATTTACATCATACTGCACCACAGTAATATATTTCCGATAATTTCATTAAGCTAACCCAAATTTATATTTTGACGGGTTGCCATGAGGAACTTGTTTCTGTAGGTCTATGTAAATGATATGAAGATAGTTTTACTCCAATGAAACTGTCAAATGCTCATGAAGTGAGGAGTTTGAGAGACAACTGATGCGTGATCATTGAAGCAGCTCCAGTTAGCAAGCGCTTTCGGAGTGAGAGTGAATTCCGCATTGATTGGTCGGACCCGTGAGTCCCAACAAATCAGATGAGCGTTGGGCGGAGACTGCTTTAGGCCACAGAGTGGTGAGTTCTGAAAGGCTGCATCAGAGCCAAATAGCGCGTTTCAAAATTAAGTTATTTTATCGGCGAATCGGTTTTGAAAATGACCGATACCGATAATCATAAAAATGCTTAATATCGGCGCCGATAATCGGTCGACCCCTAATTACAACACCTCTCTCCCCAGTCTGGCATGAACGGCTCGAATAGTTCCTGTATCAAATGAAGGCCTGCCTTCTGAAATACGAAATGTACTGTGATTGGTTAGCTGGGCCAGTGTGGGCTGTGATTGGCAGCACTCTGCGCCTGGTCGGGAAATGACACGCACCTTACCATAGCCGCCTGCGAGCTTCAGTGTATTTTGTCAAAATCAACTCAATTTGAGCGCAATAATCATGCTGTCTAATCAGCATCTTGATATGCCACACCTGTGAGGTGGATGGATTATCTCGGCAAAGGAGAAGTGCTCACTAACACAGATTTAGACAGATTTGTGAACAATATTTGAGAGAAATAGTCCTTTTGTGTACATAGAAAAATTCTTAGATCTTTGAGTTCAGCTCATGAAAAATGGGGGCAAAAACAAGTGTTGCGTTTATAATTTTGTTCAGTGTATTTTGTGTATATGCCTGTATTCATTTTTATGTAAGCCTATAGATTTGTTCTGTTTTCTCCGTTCACAGAAGGTGCGTGTGTTCTGTTGAATCCTTCTTACACTATCCTTGGATAAACACTTAACGCATTGCAATTGCGACTTACCTATTATGCGTTCACAGCTGAGCAGGCATTTCACTCGTTGGCGTCAGTGTCACATTTGCATAGGCCGTACTACTGGAATTCGTGATTGTTTGACAGCAAATTTCAAATATTAAGTGGAGTGATAAAATAACATTATTAGCTGGTTAATGGCTATTTCAAATTTTAGATTCTGTTCAGAACTATCAAATTTTATTTCGTTTCTGTTTCTGGTTCTGTTCCTGTCAAAATTTTGTTAGTTTCCGGTTTTCGTTTTCGTTCCTTGAACTGGTTCAGAGCCCTGATTTATAGAGATTCTCTCTCGAGCTGATAGGATAGACGATGTGATTGCTGATAATGAATTGGCCGGGTTAATTATCTGTACGAGCTCCTCCCAAACTTTGTTAATAAAACATAATTTATTATGCTGTAGTCTCTCCTTGTTCTGGGTCTGAGTCCAGTTCGTACATGTATGGCTGGATACCGGTCCTCTCACTCTCGCTCATGTTGCTTCTCCTCTCTGTTTATTGCCATGCGCAAAGCAGAGACATCAAGGATCCGCCCCCTTCTGGAGTCGGGCGGGAAGTTGCAGCTCATTTTAATGTAAGGGAACACCGCTGAAACAGCACTTTTTAGAACCGCCCCAAAAATGACACTTTTCAACATGTTATAATAAACTATCTGTATCGTATTTTGAGCTGAAACTTCACAGGCACATTCAGGAGAGCCATAAGATCATCTTGTAAAAAGTGGCATAATAGGTGCCCTTTAACCATTTGATGTGCTGCTAATGTTTGCGTTCTCTCAGCCTTAATAGCAAACATACTGCTGTTCTTTCTCCAATAATGCAGCATCTAGTCAACAAATTAATTACTTAGTAACGATATGAAAATGTGCACTATAGTGTACTGTATACTCAACGTTTCGTTGTCGGTTTTAAATCCACACGTCTAAATTGTGCCGCTCTGTGCAGCGTGCAGTTACGTCAAAACAAACAGCATGTGCTGTCAGTGATTTCTGCCTCTAGAGGCTGCTCTTGTACTGTCTAATGACAGCGGACTTTCTCAGCCACTCTGGGAATGGATGCAACCCGGGAAAAACTATCGGCATGGATTTTTGCAGATAGTTCCAGATTAATCGGCAAAACCGATAAATAATTCGACCTTTAACTTATAGCCTACAAAATAGTCATTAGGCTTGCACAATGGAGCAGATACCCGTCCTGCAGCTGGGTTGTTGCCCTTCTACGGTCCTGTCCAGCTCTCCTTGAACAGTAGAATAAATCTCAAATAGTCTTCAGTTTACACATCTGTTAGGCTACATTTACACTAGTTAGTGTTCGTTTTAAAACGCATAGCTCAGACAGAATCATGATTTCTATTTATTTTCCACTGATTTACTGATGAGCATTAGCAGCTTCCAGCGCTGTATGATTGTGTTCTCTCTTCCATGATCGCTGTTCTGACTCTGGTAATAACATATTTAATTTCAGCAACATTACATGGCCAAAACACACATTAGACGGCAGGGCCGGATTTACCTCTTTTCGTGACAGGAAAAACAAATTTTTGGGCCCCCTTCCCTATTAATATAATAGACCTAATATTACCACCCAAGCAAACAAAAATATTTCTTAATCAGAGGAAGCCCTTACAGTGTTTTCTATCGGAATAAGCGATTGCGTTCAGTCAGTAAAAATCGAATATATTTCCTAATTTGTTTGAGAACTGATAAAGACCATTTCATATAGGCGCGGCATCGTGGCCACATAACCACCTCGGGAGTGCATTATTTCTCTAATAATATTAACGGCCTGGAGTCACAACCACACCCACACAACCACACATCAAGACATTGTTCAGATGATTTGTTTCAAGACATGTTACCATCCTGAAATCTCGTGTGGGTTGAGCTAATTTTTTTACGCACCTCATCCCAAACCTTCCGTTGCAACTTCCAAAACGTCATTTTAGAGCTAATAATGGAGGCTTAAGTCATTCAGGCTAACGCAGTTATCAGTGCAGTCTAATGCGGTTATTAGAGAGAGGGAGAGAGAGATTAAGTGCGTGTGAATACCTGCGTCTATGCGTCTCTCAGCAGCGTTCAGCCCCCCCCCCCCCGATGAGCGAACATAGGCACGTGCCTACAATGCCTACGCGTAAATCCGGCCCTGTTAGGCGTCAATCGGAAGTTATTACAAACACTCGATGGTGGTTTAAAGTGAGTTTTGAGTAAAAGCGGAATATAAATCTTATTTATTGTCTTATGTAGCATGATGCTACAGTTTGCATGAATGGTCACATAACACGCGCTTTCGGTCATGTAACGTTAGTATGAACGGACATCTGCATATGATCAGAACTCCACGCAGCTCCCGCGCTACTCTTTATTGGAAATGAATGACTGAAAGACCAGTCTGTTGCTTGTCGGAGATAGTGGAAAGCCGTCTTGAAACGCAGTGGAAACGCCAGTATGATGAGGATCGTTTTCATTTTAAAACATAAACGCACCAGTGTAAATGTAGTCTTACATCTAAGGGGGCTGGGACGCATTCACACTACAGCCTCACGTGTGCGCCACATCTCTGAGTGTAACCAGTGTTAACTAGTAGGTGTGTTCGACTTGACGTGGACCGACTGTGCAGACCGATCGGTGTATTACAGTACCATGAGAGCTAAAGAGAGCAGACTGCTCCGTGCGATTTCGAATCGCTCTTGTGGATGTCAAACACTGATCGATCTGCGCCGCACCTCTTCTAGTTGAACACACCGGCTATTGCTGCAGGCTTATTGGCTTACTGACGCTGATGAGATTAACCCCTTAGGTATCGAAATTTGGTACCTAACGACGAGACGTTTTTCGATACTCGATGATATCGAGGCAATTCTGTCGGTGCCTAAAAAGTATCGAACTCGATACCCAGCCCTAGGTTACATAGGTTTTTATATGTCATATTATTCCTAACTGTACCATTCACAAAAAGTTTTTCTACTCTTTCAGGGATAAATATCGTTTCTATGCATGTTTGCTGCGAGCACGCTTTGATGAGAACAAACATGCGAAGGACATGATGAAGGCCACCATGATGCTGAAGGCAGGCGAGGAGGAGTTCTGGGCCAATCAGCACCCGCAGCCCTACTTGTTTCCAGACTCACCTGGAGGAACATCCTATGAAAGATATGAGTGCTATAAAGTAAGTGACAAAGTAAAATGTATATTGTGTAGTCTCTGTGCAGTTTTGCTGCTGTTTTCGTAAGCCAAGTTCACATTACGCGATTTTAAATGTCGGCAGATTGCTGTGCTGTTCAGACTACATGACTTGCTGTCTGTCTTGAAGTCTTTGCGGTGTTCAAACTACGTGACACTACGTAAATTATCGGCAACAGGAGGTGACCCACTACACCAGCTGACAACAACTTTGTCACTCAGCGACTCTACAGTGTAGTGTCTCCAAACTAGGGGTCGACCGATTATCGGCCTGGCCGATATTAAGCATTTTTATGATTATCGGTTATTTTCAAAACCGGTTCGCCGATAAAATAACTTGATTTTGAAACGTGCTATTTGGCTCTGATGCAGCCTGTCAGAACTCACCACTCTGTGGCCTAAAGCAATCTCCGCCCACCGCCCATCTGATTTGTTGGGAGTCTCGAGTCCGACCAATCTGCGGAAATTCACTCTCACTCTGAAAGCGCTTGCTAACTGGAACTGCTTTAGTGTTCACACATCAGTTGTCTCTAGGTAAGGTAAGGCAGCAGCAGACGTTGCTTAAGTTAAATCACAATCCACTAACATTACACTGAAGTTGCAAAACACCTCAATATTATCTATGATTTCCGCGATGCAGAAAATGTGGAAGGAATCGCGGAATCCAGTCATATAAATGAAATTTACTGTATGACGCGGAATGTCACGGAATTTGTCAAAGTTTGGATGAATTAATCAAAAGTAGGTAATTACACTTACATAGAGACGTGATATGAACTAGTATCTGTAAATATTAAAGTGCAAAAATACTATTTAATTATGAATCCTGCATGTTCTGCATGTCTCTGTGTATGTAAGTGGCACAGAAGCGCGGTTTTGTTTTCTATACATACAAAGTGTGCGACGCTTGCGGTGAATTCAGCTTCTGTCGTCTCACTACATGAGGACATAAATACATGAACACCATCTCCAGAACTGCTCTGACTCCCTCTGAGAGTCACTTCATGATCATTTGACAGTTTCATTTGAGTAAAACTATCGCAGTATTTCCCACAGACTTAAACTCTATTTGTGGAGGCATATATATGCAAACTCATTCTCTGCCAGCAGGAGGAGCTGTTGGAGTGGTAGAGATCAAGGTTTCCCCGGTAACGCTGTACACAAAGCAGCGCTCCGCTAAAAAAAAACACTGCTTTATCAGACATCATCCAATTTTCTGAAGACAGTCGGTTTCCTTCAGAAATACAGTGATATAAAAACACCCGCACTCAATGTATGGATCTGTAAATATTAAGCTGCAAAAATACTATTTAAATATGAATCCTGCATGTTCTGCGTGTCTCTGTGTATGTAAATGGTACAGACACGCAGTTTTGTTTTCTACAGATACAAAGTGTGCGACGCTCGCGGTGATTTCAGCTTCTGTCGTCTCACTACATGAGGACATAAATACATGAACACCATCTCCAGAACTGCTCTGACTCCCTCTGAGAGTCACTTCATGATCATTTGACAGTTTCATTTGAGTAAAACTATCGTAGGTATTTCCCACAGACTTAAACTATTTGTGGTGGCATATATATGCAAATTCATTCTCTGCCAGCAGGAGGCGCTGTTGGAGTGGTAGAGATTGAGGTTTCCCCGGTAGCACTGTACACAAAGCAGCGCTCAGCTCACAAACGCTGCTTTATCAGACATTACATGCAAGATGAAATGAAAATGACATCCAAAATTTTCTGAAGACAGTCGGGTTCCTTCAGAAATACAGTGATATAAAAACTCCCGCACAGGGTTTCAATTTTGAAACGTGCAGTGCTCATGTTTATTCAACAGTCAAAGCCTTTTGGGAAATCTATTGGTGGCGGTCAGTTTTGATATTGTGGCGGGCACCACAAATAAATCAAAGTATGGGGAACACTTACATAGGCTACAGAAACTTAAAA